TCGCATTTTTATTTTTCTTGCTTCTTGTAGAACATTACTTCCTCCCAGGAAGTGGGGGTGCAAGTAGCTGATCTTGCCTGGGGCACAAAATAGTCTAGCACCAGCACTGGGTACTGCCCACTGAACACAACGGGGGAATAATTTTTGCTGCACTACATTGCAATGTATCATGGCTGCTGCATGTGTATGTGTATACCCCCCATTAAGTTGCTTTTGTCCATACCAAGCCCAACGGCAAGTGCAAAATAAGTCATTCATGAAGAAGGTTCAGGCAAGTGTAGTGTAATCAGAAAGGTTGAGAGATGATCAGCAGACCAGCAGATGAATGTTTTGTACATATTAGAGTTAGACATGTTGAAGGGCCTGTGCGTGCTTCCAGGTGTTCATTGAAAGTTTCCAAGTGTAAATATAGAAGAAAAAAAAGTTTAAATGAGAATCAAATAAATAAAGTAGAATTTAATAATGAAAAAAATGTGTAATTTGGCATACCAGGATTAGGGATGGAGGAGCATTTCCCCAACATCAGCAGAATATATAGGTAGTAAGCAGGGGCGGACTGACAACTCATGGGGCCCCCGGGCAATAGGGGATCATGGGGCCCCTGTGTCCTTGCCCAAACTCAAAAAAGCCTATGAAAAAGGTACCAGGGGCATCTCATGGGGCCCCTACTGACCCCCAGGCCCTCGGGCAGTGCCCGAGTTTCCAAATGGTCAGTCCACCCCTGTAGTAAGGTTACCACTAGTGAGCTCTAATAATATGGAATTGGACTTTACATTCTTCCATTCTGAACAAGGCTACTTGTAGGCCTCTGTTTAAATACTTTTTCGATTATTTGGAGTATGGAGTAAAGAGCAGTAGTCTCAATTCACAAAGCTAAATACCAGTTTGTTTGTTTTTTTAAGTGACAGTTATTTTCTGCTGAGTACAATGGGATTTGAAAATTATAGTTGCATGGCTGAAAATAGAGATTCTTACCTTAGTATAAAGGATGCCCTGCCCTGAATGGCTCTCTGCAATAAAAATGTCATCTGTCTGAGATGTGTGGAGTTAGTTAGAAATTTCATCAATAGGGAGAGTGGAGTGGTTTACGATGCTCAGGCTTATAACTCAAGAGGCATACTGTAGATCAACTTATCTGAGTACAGTAAGAACCCTCTTCCTTTTGCATTTTAATAGATTTCCATGATGCATGCATACATATTTAGGTGCATTGTATACTTTTTTGTGACTGCAGTCACAGTGAAGGTACTAGAAGTCAAACATATGGAATTCAACATTGTATAAACTGTCATTTGACAAAGATCACCAAATAAAACAGTGCTGCAAACACACTATGTTTGTATAATCCATTCCCTGCCAATGCCACCTAAATAAAGAAAAGTTGGAAAAAAATCACCTAAAGTCTTATCACAAGTGATAATCTTGCTTTGAAGGGGTCAAAGCTTGCTCTTTTGTGACTGCATTAGATATTACGAGGGCAGAATAAAAAGAACTGCTATCTTCTAGTAGTTTGAGAACATTGAACAGCATAACTGAAGGGCATTTATTTTTGCTAATATGCCAGTAATTTAAAAATGCTTCCTGAGTCTAGATACATTTAATAGATACAATTTTTCATTCCACACTGTACAATGTATTAATAAAAACTAAGCTGTAAAGCGTTTTCACTATTACTATATATTGCTGTAAGTAGTGGACTTTAAGACAGGCTGCTGGCTTTGTACCAAAAAATGTAAATGTCATTAATAATTGGCTACCTGTTAATTAACCGTATTCTTTAATATACTAATAAAAATGAAAAGCGTGTAAGATCATGACCTAATAAGACATTGATATTGCAACAGATTAGTAGCAGACATTCTAATTTATTAATTGCCACTATTGGTAGAAGTGTAATCCTCAGGAAAACATGTTTAATAAAAAACCCATTACAAGTAAATAATAAATGTGAACCATATTTATTTGTTCTTGTAACTTTTAACACTAGACACAATATTATTTAACTAAGTTCAAATTAGGCAAGTCTTGCTGGACAGATATGCTTGTAAACCCTGGTGGTTTAGAGCCAAACATGCTACTCATTACTTAGAGGTGTAATAAGAAGTATAGCATAAACCCTCATTCACACCTGTTTTCTTATGCCCGACTACGCACAACTTGCAGTATCCCATTTGTTCTACTTGTTCCAGTTCACTTAAAAAGCAAATAAGCCTTTTAGCATATGCTGAGGTTTTTGCACCCATAGAATTCAAAAGGTGTGCCTGTAAAATGTGCAACACAAACTGTTACTACAGTATAACAAAATATGCTGCCTTTGCTGCTTTGAGAGAGCATTATGGATGAACACAAATATGCTACCATACTGTAACACCTATTCACTACAACTTACTCTGAATACTAAATTCTCAATTCTTTAACTCTTGAGCCATTAAGCTCGGCAAGGATTTATATTTCATCCATTTGAGCTCAAGACGCTGTAGAAAATTCATTGCAAACACAACCACAGCACGATTACTTAACTGCTTCCCGTCCTTCCTATAGCAGAAGTACTGCTACAGGGTGGTATGGGTGCGCAAAATCACGTATATATACACATTATTTTGCATTTCTGGGTAGGTAGCGCACGCGCCCTACCTGTGCCGCATTTTGCAGCCTCGGCTTTCAATCACTCACCGATGCCCGGTGATTGCCGAGCATCTCCAATGGGGGGGGGCTGTTTGTAAACAAAACAGTTCTCTCCCCTGTCAGCTCCTGCACACAGCTATGTAAGCAGTGTGCTTACAGCCAAGCACACACAGCCCCTAGTAAAACAGCACACACACTGTTAACCGTTTGATCACCCCAAATGTTAACCCCTTCCTGTCCAGAGCCATTAGTACAGTGTCAGTGCTTTTTATTAGCATTGATCACTGTATTGTTGTCACTGGGGATGTCAGAATGCCCGCCACAGTCCCGTTATAAGTTGCTGACCACTGCCATTACTAGTAAAGATTTAAGAAAAAAAAAATCCCAGTATACATACCGCCATTTGTATAACTTTAACGTAAACCAATTCATTTACACGTATTGGGATTTTTTTTTTAGCAAAGACTTGTAGCCGAATACATTTTGGTCTAAATTTATAACGAAATTTGTTTTGTTTTTTTTTTTCCTGACATGTTTAATAGCAAAAAGTCCAAATATTGTTTTTTTTTCTCAAAATTGTCGGTCCTTTTTCGTTTATGGCGCAAAAAATAAAAACACACAGGCGATCAAATACCACCAAAAGAAAGCTCTGTTTGTGGGGAAAAAAAGGATGTAAATTTAATTTGGGTGCAGCATTGCATGATTGCGCAATTGTCAGTTAAAGTAATGCAGCATCGTAATGCAAAAAATGGCCTGGTCAGGAAGGGGGGGGGGTGGGGGGGGGTAAATACTCTGTCGGGTGATACATGGAAAATTACATGTGTTACTCACATTAAATCACAAAAGTAATCCAGACAGGTACAGGCAGGCTAAAGTCTAACAGCATGCATTTAGAGATAGTCCTAGAGACCTGGGCTCAAGTTAAAGACTTATACAGATGTGAGAACCCACGGTGTGGTCTTGCAGGAGATACAGCAACTCTAGGTTTCAAACAACTTCTAGAAGAGAAATGAAAAAAACCTGTCCTATATCTCCAGCCAGATGCATTTCTAGACAGATAATCACACTCTCCTTCTAAAAATGTTACTTCTTTGATCGTCATATGCATAGCCTCAGTACTTTTTGGCTCACTGACCTGAAAGGAATGAGCAGATTAGGAGTGCTGACTGCTACATACTTGTTCAGAGTGTGGTCCAGCGATTCTTAGAGCTGAAGAATGCCAGGCACCTAATATTTTCAGCAGGTGGTCAGCCTTCCCCACTCAATCCAAAACTAAGAAAAAAGTTTTAGCTGTACAAACACTTTAAACAAAGAACCGTAATGCAATACCAAGGGCTAACTCAATGGACACGTATGTTTTATTATCCTGACAAATACTGCCGTGAATTTCAAATGAGTAATTGTAGGTTGGATTTGCACGGTGCAATAAGATTTACATGCCCCAAATCGCGTTTACGTGCAAAAACTTCACTTACGCCTTGTTCAGGAACACAATGCATTGAAACGCAAGACTGTGTGTTCCAGCATGCTGCAGGGCAAATGTTTTGCCTTAGTGCGTTGAGGGTTGGTACCAAATGAATGGCAAGCTAATGCACCAACTGCGCATTACCACAGCACGATATTGTGGACTGACCAGGGGCGGACTGATCATTTGGAAACTCGGGCACTGCCCGAGGGCCAGGGGTCAGTAGGGGGCCCCATGAGATGCCCCTGGTACCTTTTTCATAGGCTTTTTTGGGTTTGGGCAAGGACACAGGGGCTCCATGATCCCCTATTGCCTGGGGGCCCCATGAGTTGTCAGTCCGCCCCTGGGACTGACCTATAATCATATTACTTATTGTAACGCACACATGCAACAAAATATCAACATAACACTATTTCAAATGTTAATCACTGTAACCATGAAACCAAATTTTAATGCAAAAGTTATATTAAACACTTGCCTGCTGGGCACTTTTACCTCCTTCCTGCCAAGGCCAATTTTCAGCTTTTAGCACTGTCACACTTTAAATAATTGCGCGGTCGTGCAACACCGTACCCATACAAAACTTTTATAATTTTTTTTTGAGACAGATAGAGCTTTCTTTTGGTGGTATTTAATCACCACTGTTTTTTTTTTTGCTAAACAAACTAAAAAAGACTGAAAATGTTGAAAAAAAAAAGTTTTTTCTTCGTTTCTGTTCTAAAATGTTGTAAGTAATTTTTCTCCTTTACTGATGTGCGCTAATGAGGCTGCAGTGATGGGCACTAATAGGTGGCACTGATGAGGAGGCACTGATGAGCATTGACAGGCATCACTGGTGGGCATTGACAGGCATCACTGATGGCCACTGAAAGGCAGCACTCATATATGGCACTGATAGGCGGCACCAACTGGTACTGATAGGCAGCACTGATGGGCACTGATAGGTAGCACTGACGAACACTGATAGGTGGCACTGATGGGCATTGATAGGCGGCACTGAATGGCACTGATAGATGGCACTGAAAGGCAGCTCTGATGGGCATTGATATGTGGCATTGATGTGCACTGATATATGGCATTGATATGTGGAAATTATGGGTACTGACAGGTGGTACTGATGGGGCTACACTGCCCTGATAATTAGTGTAGATGTCCCCTCTGAGGAATGCTGCTTACCGGCTGTCCTTTCCTCACTCACTGTCAGCATGAGGAGAGGACTGCCGATAACCAGAATTTCCTATTTACATGCGATCAGCTGTGATTGGACACTGCTGATCATATGATAGAGCCTACGTCATTTACGTCATTCAGCTCTTTACTGTGATCGGTGATCCGCTATGTCCCAGGGACACAGCACATCACCAATTGCCACACCGCGCACCCTAGGGGAGTGCATGCGCAGCTAGAGTGGGAGGATGTCATATGACTTCCTCCCAGAACGAGAGAACCACTGCCCTCCTGTCATTTTCTTATATGGCGGGCGGGAGGCGGTTAAAGGCTAGTGCTTTTTACTATTTTTTTTTTATATTTCATATTATACTTACCTGCTCTGTGCAATGGTTTTGCACAGTGCAGACCCAATTCTCATTTTCTGGGGTCCCCCAACAATTCTCTTTGCTCCTCTTCCCTTCCGCTTGCTATGTGGGCTCTTGTGCATGCTTGGTCCTGTGCGTGTCTATTGAACCCACCCCCCTTCCTCCTCACAGGATTTAATCTACAGCAACAGGAGCAAATGGCTCCTGCTGCTGCCTCAGTCCCTGTGAGGAGAAAGAGAGAGAGAGCAGCGCGCTGCTACTGTCGGGCACAGTGCTGGATCAAGATCGGTAAGTATTTAGGGGGGAATCTGGCAGAAGGTTGAACATGAAGGTTTCTTTTACTCTAATGCATTAAGACGAAAAAACTTTCGCCTTTACAATCACTTTAATGCCTAAGTATCTCACAAATACTGTGTAATACTGCTAAATAAATTATGCTATTTCTGAGGTTAATGAAATGTTGAAAGTGTTTTAAAGCCCATTTCCAAGGTAAAAGTAAATTTAGGCAACATACTAATAATTTCAGTTTGAATTGTTTTAAAATTAAAAGAAAAGAACTAGCAAGAAACAATAAAAATGTTACGATGGTGTAGAAAATTTAAGCCATTTTGAAACAGAAAACAAGGAACAATAACTAACCAGATCTGTAGTTGCAGATCTCCAAGTTAGCATAGGAATGTTTACTAAAGAATGTGTCCTTCTGAAATAAGGAATGTCTTTAGCTGGCAGTACAATATACAAATTTCCTTTAGATTTACTAAAAAATATGGATTATGAAGACACACCTAAACAATACATACAACTTGTATCAAAACAGGAAGGCCTTTGCACTACTTAGTTGATGGCAGATGTAAAAGAGATTGTATAATGAGATTGCTAGGGGTATGGTCAGCTTAAGATCCATGATATCATAAGGACTCATGTACACGAACAGCTGCTAAATTCAAGTTTAGGAGCTTTTGGCATTTTTTTGCCTATGTTTCCATGTGCACATTGGTTTTTAGCAGAGTTTAGCAGCTTCCACGTTTAGGTGAGGCTAAACGTCCCTCTCCTGAACGCCGAAGAATAGTGTACAAGATAGGAACATTTTGACCACCGGCCATGGGAAAACGCAAAATGCAGAAAAACGTGGTACCACGATTTTGCTGCAGTTTTGCCCCAATTTCCATTTTCCTACAACCGGCAGTAGGGCTAGGCTCGTGTACATGGAACCTAACAATCCAGCAATATATGCAAGGTTTTCCTGAAACACAGTATATATTACAATATTATAATTTAAAAAGAATAGGGCTCAAGGCATATTAAAGGTTTGGAGCCAGCCTGTTCAAATTACCCATAAAAAATAAAATCATCCCAAAAACCCAGGGCAAAGCTCAACAAAGACCACAACAAATCTAAGTTTAGATTATTAACCTGTTATGCTCTGCCCTATAGCAAAATCATATATATACTGTATGTGTTCGCTGGTAGGAGGCACACGTGCAGACCTGCTGACAAGACAGGTGCTGTGATTCAGTGCAGCACCTATCAGTCAGCAGATTCAGGCCAGTGATGTTCGCCCTGGATCTGCTGAGTGATCCCTGCCCTATCACAGATCTTTCTTGTGCCATTACACAAGCACAGGAAATGAAGCAATCGTCTTTCGCTGGAGCACATTCCGTTCCAAAGAGAGAAGAAAGCAGATCCACTTGAGTCAAAGAACTACACTTTTACAGTAAAATCATTGCTAGGTCACAGTTAATCCCCTGATCGCCCCCCAGGCAACCCCTTCACTGCCCTGTCACTAGTCTCATTAGTACAGTGTACAGATTTTTTTTTTTCTGATCACTGTATTAGTGTCACAGGTGACTTCAGATAGCATTAGGGTTAGTTAGTGTTCCTCCCAGATAGCATCAGATTGCCCGCCACTACATCAGTCATCACATTTAACCCTCTGATTGCCAGGAAACACGCTCACATACACAATAAACCTCCTTTGCTAGTGTAGTGTCTGAATGGATCAATATCTTCGATCAGATCAGAACTATACCAGCGTTCACAATAGTATAGTGTCCCCAAAAATGCAGCTTTAGCAGGATCAGCCCCAGCACCTACGTTTAGTCCCTACGCTTAACCCCTGCCTTCTCCCCCAGCAAGTGCAATGTCAGTAGGTCACTGTCACTTGATACATTGCACACAAAAACTGCAGGGTTAGCAAGATCAGACCTGATCTTTGCTAGCACTAGCAGGTAAATTATTTGGCCTAGTACATCCTGGTCTTTTACATACCAGCACTGCGGTATAACTTGGTGACATGGCAAGTCCCATAAGTGCACTACAAGCTGGTGCGGTGTCTAGTACAAGTAGTGTCCTGCAGCCACCAAGAATTCAAACACAAGCCCATAGAGCCCATAGTGTCCTTCAGGATGTGTTTGCAAATCCTGAATGGCAGCCCACAAATTCTGCAGCACCTGTACTTCTCCCATTCAGTGCCCTCCCTGGAATTCAGGTGGAAAGAGCAAATTTAACTACTCCCCTTGATTTTGTGGAGCTGTTTTTCACAGAAGATCTGTATGGACTGATTGTGGATCAAAGCAATTTATATGAACAACAATGTATCACCGCAACCCAAATTCAAACCTTGTCAGACCACTTGTATGGAAACCTATTGCGGTTTCTGAATTTCAAGTTTTTTTTTGCCTAACCCTCAATATGGGCATTACTAAATAAAATGAATTACAGTTGTATTGATCCACAGACTAGATTCATCGTATGCCCGAGTTCTCTGCTGCCATGGTCAGGCATGGATATGAGAATATAATGTGATTAATGCATTTCAATAACAAAACACCTTCTTGTCCATGGGGTGACCCTGAATATGACTGCTCCACAGAGTCCCTCATTAACTTTTTTGGCCACCTTGCATTCAAATAATTTCTCCCTAGCAAGCTTGCCAGATATGGGGTCAAAATGTATAACACCTGTGAGACGGCAACAGGCTATACATGTAATTTTCGGATTTATGAGGGAAAAGATGGTCACATGGAGCCCTTCAGATGCCCAGACTACATGAGGAGCAGTTACAAGATAGTTTGGGACTTGGTGTCACCCTTTTTCCATATTGGGTACCACTTATATGTGGACAATTTTTATACAAGCATGCCACTATTTAGACATTTGAACAATCTTGGAATTGGCGCATGTGGTACCCTGTGACCTAATTGCCGGGGCTTCCCCCAACAGCTTGTAAATACCCATCTTAGAAAAGGGAGAAAGCCTTCTTGAAAGCCTTCTTGAAAGTGGAAGGACAAATGGGATGTTTTCATCTTCCATTCACAACCATCCAAATTTCCACAGTAGTTGTTGTTGTTGAGAAGCCCTTCTGCGTCCTCAACTAAAACCTTAGCATGGGAGGGGTGGACTTCAAGGACCAGAAGATGAAGCCATATTTAGTTTCCTGTAAAGCCAAATGCTGGTACAAAAAAGTGTCTCTATATTTATTTCAATTGGCTCTGTATAACACTTTTATGATTTACAAATAAACTGGAAGAATTGGATCCTTCCTAAAATTCCAAGAAGAGATCTTCATGGCCCAGAAGGTGCTGTGGCCAAACCCCAAACTCAAATGTAGTGAGCTGGCTGCATGAGAGGGCATTTTCCTGATACCCCAAAAAAGATTTTGTGTCTGTAGACATGGAATTAGGCATGACACTTGCTTTTTTTGTCCCTCCTGTCCTGGCCAACCTGGTCTCTGCCTCAAGGACTGCTTCCATCGCTACCATGCACTAGTGGAGTATTAGTATAGGGTACAGCACAGCACAGTCCAGGCACATATATACACAGGGTCTCGAAAGATGTTAGGTAGTCAGTCAATTTGAGAGACCCTAATATCTGTTTGTTACAGTTTAAAAAAAAAGTTAAAAGAAAGTAAAAAAAAATCATACAAAATAAAAAAGTAAAAAAAATAAAATAAAATAGTTGTCGTTTTATTGAGTTACTGTTTTATTGTTGCTGTTTTATTGTTAACCATTGTTTTTTTTTTTTTTTTTTGCAGGAATGCCATTCAGCTGCAGCACCAATCTGTTTATTCTGACAACAACAAGGTCTTGCTCTCAGAATATACACAAGTGTGTGCAGCACTGTTGAATAAGATATTTGATCCGCAGATAAAAAAGAACATATATGCCAAAACATGGGGGCCTGGGGTGGTCAGTGGGTGGATCACCCATATGCTTTGGTATATATTTTTACAATATTTTTTGGCACAGATTTCAATTAAAAAGTTGTTTTATTAAGTTACTGTTTTATTGTTACCCATTGATGTTTTCTTTGTAGGAATGCCATTCAGCTGCAGCACTGATCTGTCTATTCTGACAGCAACAGGGGGGTCTTGCTCTCAGAATATACGTGTGTGCAGCGCTGTTGCATGATTTTTTTTTTATTCGCAGTAAAAAAAAAAAAAAAAAAAGTAT